GCCTGCGCGTACGCGGCCTCATCGGGCGTGCAGACCCCCCCTTCGGGCGTCTTTGCCGCTCCCGCTATGACGACGACCACGACAACCCCACCCCCACCCCCACCCCCACCCCCATCCCCACCCCGGCCGTCCGTGGCTCCCCTCTCGGCTGCAGCATCGCACACACCACCGCGGCTGTCCGCTGTGGGTTCTTCTCCGCTTGCCGGTGGGGTGGTCCGGACGCCACCGCGGCTTTCCTCGCCGTCCGTGGAGCTCCGCGGGCTGCGGGAGGAGCTGCGGATGTGGCGGGAGCAGTGCCTCCGGCTGTTACAGGAGAAGGCGGAGAAGCCGACACGGGAGAAGGAGGAGGCGACCGAGAAACCCTCACGGGAGAAGGGCGGCGACGAGGACAAGGTGTCTCAAGCGAAGGATTGCGACAGGGAAAAAGTGTCACCGGAGAAGGACCCCAACACGGAGAAACTGTCACAGGGGAAGGATTGCAACACCAATAAATTGTCACAGAAGGATGATGACAAGGGGACGAGAGGACAGCCGCTGGGGGAGATGCCACAGGCTGTAGGGGTCTCCCAGCGGGGGGTGGCGGAGCCCAGCGCGGATGCCCCGGGTGATTCTCACAGCCATCCCCCATCGTCTATGGTGGGAAACGCCGGCCAAGCGACCCCCGCGGCGTTGCCGGTCGAGCTCTGCCGATGCCAGCTGTTCATGACTTTGCCAAGCGGTGAGAGGGGCTTGCCGGTGCGGCTCGTCGCGGATCACGGTCTTGCCATGGGGGTTGCCGATGATGCGGAATCGTTAACCACTTCTGCAAGTTCCGTGGCGCCGCGAGTTCGGGAGGGCATTTCCAAGCCTGCAGGCGGAGGCGCTTTGTCGAAGAAGACTAAGGCATGGGAGGACACGGCAGGGTGCCTTGGTGTTAGCGAAACTGACAAGCGCTTGCAGGCGCGACGGAAGTTGGAGTACGACATCGCTCGGCATGACCAACTCCTCAACACCATAGCGAAGCTTCAAAGGACGGCTGCGGAGCATACCTTTCGAATGCCAAAGTAAGCTCGAAGGGGGAGATCTGCGCATGAGCGTGGCGATGGAGAGAGGGGGGATTCTATAGGCGAGACGTAAAGCATCAGCACCACTACAATTAATACAGTGTTCGCTTTACGTACTTTTACATCCCCTTTCTATCGTTGACAGCAAGTCCATTTAGTTACGTTTTTGAACTATTTACCCAAAAAATGCCATTTCTATACATTATTAGATGAATTTTAACTTTCTAAATTCGGATGCTCATTAGATTAGAGGAGAAGCTAGTTTGAGGGACGCGGTGTAGTATTTTCCTCTGGATCGTACTCCTCTGTATTAGTTCACTAAATTGATTAATGAGTATGAAATGAAAATATATGAGATAATCTCGAGCGTTGACGATAAATTACCTTTTGCTTTTATATTTTTATGAATAGTATTCTTTTGGTCTTTTAACCCTGCGTCGGTATTAGCAGAGGGGAAGGAAAGGAGGCATATACAAAGAACACGACAATACAATTGAAAGGGGGACTGGCAAGTTGTTTTCTTCTGCTACACTACCAATAAATCAATCAATCAGTCGATCAATCATTTCCAGAGTTTTCAAGAGGACGGGGTGGGCGTGTGTGGTGTCGTAGCAATCATTCCATTCGCATCGAAAAACATGTCAGGCCTCCAAACTAACGACGCCGCGGCACCAATGCCTTCGATGGGCGACTTTGCTTCCGTCGATAGCGCGTCCGACGCGGCGGCGCCTCCCATCTTCGACTTCAGCTTCCTCGATTCGTTGGGCGCCTCGCATCTCCCACAGCCGGGTGGAACGGCAGGGGGGCCGACCGCCGAGGTGACCTTAGACGCGTGCGCGTTTTCCTCAGGGTTCGACCTCTCGGATTGCATGCGACTCCTTGAGGGGGCTGGGGAGTACCCCGCCGTGACGGCGGAAGGGGGCGATGCGCCTGATTCCCTCGTTTTTTCCCTGTCCGACGCCGCGTTCGGGGAGGGCTGTGGGGGGCTTTTTGGCGGTGGCGTCAGCCCCGCTGCGAAGTCGACCTCCCCTGCCCGTGGAAATCCACCGGCTTCCTCAGACGGAGGAGAGCGGTCGTACGCGGAGGGGGATCGGTTGGGGTTTCATCCCCCTCCTCCTCAGCCGGCGGCGGCGGAGGGCGCCGTGGTCGAGACTTTTCCCGCGGCGAAAAGCCTTAACTTTCGTGTGGGAGGGGCGGGTGAGGGTGGTGGAGCTCCCCCACCGCCACCTCCTTCGTTTCCCGCCGCGCCCGACGTGGAGGAGCCGACCGGGATGCCGCCACCCCCGCCGCGGGGGGTTTCCGCACCCCGCAGCGCTGCTTCTTCTTCTACCGCTTCCTCTGTTGTGGCCTCTTCCGCGATTCCCGCTGCTGCGGCTGCTGCGACGGCGGGAGATTCCACGGACGCGGTGGATCGCCTTCTCGTCCGAGCGGAGGAGCTGCTGCGGGGTGGTGACGATCCCACCGGGGCGGGCGAGGACGCCCCGCGCGCGTTGATGCCCGACGCGGTTTTCGCCGCGAAGGTGCAGCACCTTCAGCAACGCTGGGAGGCGCTCCGTGAGGAGGCGGTGCAGGAGGTGAGTGGCCTGCAGTCGGACGTTACGCAGTTGCTGCGGGCGATGGGGCCGAGTGAGGAGGTCGCCGAGGTGTTAGGTAAGGAGTACATCCATACACCGGTGATCCATCTGCTGCCGTTAATCACCTCCCTCCTGGACGAACTACTGAAGGATGAGTAACCTACTTTTCTCTTTTTTTCTCTTAACGAGGAAAGAGCAGACCCTGAGCTTCTCTTGTTCGATTCTTGAACGCTATGCCTTTGGTCGGTTTTGTCAAGGGATTAGGCTTATCAAATACATGATTCTATCAATTTATTATTCCTTACAGATGAATCCATCTTTTGGATTGGCTCCGTTCTTGTTTTTTTTCCCACCTCCAGTTTTTGAACTTTTAAGACTTCAGTACTTGAGGTTGTGTGGTTGAACATCATTATATCTCCCCTCTATATCGCCTATATGGCGTGCACTCTATCATAGCCTTTCGTTTCCCAATAAGATCTTTTTTATCACCTCCACGGAAAACATTTCTGTTGAATTTGTATCTGCTATCATATCCGTTTTTTTAAATTTACCATATCTCTTGCTAAGAGACGCGAATGCTGCTTGCACGTTTCTGTCTCTATAGTAGCGTTTGGCTTCCATTGGAGAAACTCTGACGAAATTTTTTTCTGCAGAGTTTAGTGTGCACGTTTTAAGCGGTCAATTCATATATTTCCTGTTTTACCTTTGCTCTTATGTTGTGTTAGCTAGCTTTATTAAACAACGTACGCGTGACGCAAGCAAAAAAAATATATAGTATAGTTGAACGGATCATAAATATACGTGTGCCTACATATTTATATATTAAATGGAAGGTCTCGCGCAACAGATTGATCAGCTGCAGAGCGCACTCGCTCAGCTCAAGGGCGCTTTGCCAAATCCTCTGACGAGCGTTAAACGCGGCGGCGACCTTTCCACCCCATATTCGTCGGCAACCTTCACGCGTGTGGATCGCGCGACCTTTCAGGCGACCTTAGCGCACACCACGGCGTTGGTTCGCCGCTGTTACGAGCGCCACTTCCTTCGCAAGCCCTCACCGCCTTCCCACGGAGAAGAGAAGGAGGAGGAGGCGATGATGGAAGACGCACTGCCGAAGGAGACGATCGCATCCGTCGCGCGGCGCTTTCAAATCCACCCGGATCTCATCCGGCAGCTTAACCCGCACCTCGCCGATTTTGGTGATCCGGTGCCGCTGCCGGTGAACTGCTTTTTGATGCTCCCGCCGCACATGATGCCGCCACCCGCGGCGCGGGAGGAGCCGCCGCGCGCGGACGACGAAAAAGAACCCCCCCAGGAGGCCTCGTTGCCCGACAAGATCCTCACCCCCGTCGATGCGGCTGACAGCCCCACCTCGGAATTGTCTTGGCAGCTACGGGAGGATTCGACAAGCACCTGGGAGGTGTCGGATTCGCACGATGAGGCCCCGGACGCCGCCCTCCGCGTGGCGGCGGACGACTCGGCGATGGATTTTGTGGATCCCGCCGCGATCATGGAAGGGGCCTCCCCCACCCCTCCGCCCTGCGCGCCCCACCCCCTCCTACCCCCCTCCGTTTCCAAATACGCGAGGGGCCTTTTCAGCGCCCCCTTTCCGGTTGGCGCTCTCGAGGGGGGGTCGTCCTCCCCGCCGCGTGGAGGGGGGG